CAACAAAAAATCCAAGGAAATTGGCCTACTTGTTACTTTCTTTTTCTTAAGAGCTTTCTGTTTCATAGATAAGAATCTCAGTGGGAGGGATACAAGTGTATACAATTCAGTACCAAAAGCCTAATTGCTCACTGGCTCTGGGCAAATTTAAATCCTGTGAAGTAAACTACTTTATATGTTGTGGCCATTTTCTCACACAGTGATGGGCCATGTTTTCTATCAGTCAGGGAGTGAATGTTGTCCCCATAAGCATGTATGCACACATGTGCTCCACCCCACAGAGTGCACAGCCTCCAAGTCTTCTGATGAGACAGTTCTTCAGAAAAAGGGTTCTGTCTTCCTTGGGAGCCAAACCACAATTTGCGTGAGTTGTGTGTAACAACACAAAGTTCCAAATTGTCATTGGAGGAAAAAAAAAAGAGAGAAATAGTAGTCAGCAGTTTTCACATCTTTTGTTTCTCCTTCATTCTTTCTAATGGCTCATAAAAATATGTAAATTTTTTCTGCCTGTCTTTAAGCAAGAACATTTATTTCCTTCTTTTCAGAGGACTGAATTCTTGGAACTCATACCATTTTCATTTGGCTATTTTTACCCGCCCTGCTTCTTCCTGTATCCATGGAGTTTCATCAAAACATTGAATTCCAGTCTCTAATGACATAACCTTCCCCTTTCCTTCCTGTTCTCATGTCACCTCTCATTTTCTCACCAGCTCCATAGGCTTCTCTGATTTTTTTAGACATTTTCTGCTCTGCACTTCTTATTTTCATTACTTACTTTGCAACAGTTGGGAGTGCTAACAAGCCATGAACTTCTGCATAAACAAGAAAACCAACTGCCTCAGCTAAAGAGAACAGCTTCTCTTCCTCCGTGCTCTGGGGTAAAAATCTGACTTCAAAGGGATGATTCTGTCTTACATCAGCATCAACCAGGAATAATTCATCTATAATCACTATGTGAGAGCCTGTTCTGCTGTATTTTGGGTAAATCAGCAATAGCAAAATAAAGAGAATGACTGTAATTTGAAGTTGAGACAAAGGAACTATGAAGTACACCTGACAACTTCCTTGACTGTATTTAGCAGTTAAGTGGGACAGACAGCACGTGCTATTCTATTCAGCTCCTGTCTGCAGCTTCTTAACGGATTAATGCTAGCAAAATGTGTGTCATAGTCTGGCCTACAAGGTCTCTCCACAAGCATACTGCACTTTGCTACAGCTGGGTATTTCCACAAGACAGAGTTCTTTGGGTGTGTGATTTTAAAGGCAAAAGTAGGAGCAGCAATCTGGTATGAATATTCCTTGTCCTAGGGAAAAAAAAACCTGATCTGCAAATGGAATTCATTTACTGATTTGCAGAACAATGAAGTCAAGCAACAAACGATATTAAAAAATATACTCACAAGTGTTTTTGCAGGAGACAGAGGTGTTTATGAACCAAAAAAAGAGGTGTAGAACTTACAATTGCTCTAGGGCAAATTTTAACTGCTTTGCCTTCCTTATTAGATTTCTCATTCATAAAAATATCGTTAGCTGACTTAGCAGTCATTGCACCACATGGGATTTTAGGTGCTTCTAACCATCTGTACTTTTTTTTTTTTTTACATTTCTCCAATTAATTTGTCTAATTTTATCTCTTTGTCTAAATAATTAGAGTTATCTGGAACATCAAGACAAACCTTGATCTCAGCAGGAGTATGGACAGGACGTTTGCTCAGAAGCAAAGAATATCAGCTCGAGGCTACCACAAAGTCCAGTGCCACTCTCAGCTGGCAGTGCTAACAAAAATCCTGTCTTGATCCTGGCACTTTTCCCTAAGCTGGATCCTGAAGTTTCCAGTCAGATTTGCTGTCTGGACACAACATATTCTGAATCAGAGTAACAGCACTAGGTTAATCAATTTGAGCTCCATGCTGACAATCTGCCAGCAATCTAAAGCCTTTACATAAAACTGCACTCTGTAGGGTGCCATGTGTCCCAGATTTCCATCAAATGCAATGGCTGAGCACCCTGTAGGATTAGAATGTTAACTTGAATAGTTATATCCACCCATAACATCCATATGGAAATGCACTACAGAAAGGCATATACAGGGTAGGATATCTCCACTTCTAAAGATCAGGGTTATTTACCAGCTCAGGAAGAAAGCATCTGGGAGAAAATCATGCCTAACCTCAATCTAAGAATTTCAGCAATCCTCCAACAGGGTTTCAAAGCACGTACAAACGTTGCAGTGTACTGACAGAAAAAAATAATTAGAAAATAAAAATTAAAAAACGGGAGTCAAAAGGAAGAAACAATGTAATTCTCTCAGAAAAACGTGGAAGGTCTGGATAGAAGCACAGATTTCCTGTACTTTTAACCAGTTGTGAGTGCACTGTCTCATCAGCCCACGCACGAGATGGAAACTCATCAGTATCAAGGATCGTTATGCAAGAAAGAAGATACAAGACTGGTAAGACACATTCATCCAGCAACTCGCTTAAGCCACAATTCAGAGCAGGAAGTTTCACAAACTTTCAATTCCCACACCAGGTTAAATCAATCTAAATCAAATACACTTAAAAGATAAAGCCATGAATGGAAAGTAAGTCTCTTTGTGCCACCCACTACCAGAAGGTTTATTGTTTGGTTGTTTTTTTTTTCTTGAAAACTATTTCCCACTTGAACATTACTTGTATTTAGAAGTCCAGGCATTGGATTATTTTCTGTGGGGAGAAGTGAGTAATTTGCACTATTAGCTACACTAAGAAAGGTGTGAGGTGGCAGGGAGGGGAGGAGAGAGATAGCCAGTATGGGTTAAAGTTCATTTATGGGGTAGCATAACACTCAAAAATCCCACAGGAACAAGCATTCTTACATGTCTTCAATCAGGCCTTATTTCTAATTTTCTTCCTCTCTCAAAAGCTCACTCCTCCGTTCCACAATAATCTTGGGAAGAGGCCTACATGTCATCAAACGTTTCTGCTGATGCTTTTCAGCACAGCAGTTGCTGCCATGTGCCCCATGCAGTGCCCAGTGCCCTGTGTCTGACATTGGCCATGGCTGGCTGCCTCACACAGGAGCTCAAGACACTTCAGAAGGCACCAGTCCAAACCCAAGTTCCTCCTCCACCACCAAGAGTTCTCTTGGTGCTGCTCAGTGTTACTGTGGCAAATCTGGGTACTCTTGCTAGCCAGAAACATTTCAGCCTTTTCTGAATCCTTGCACGCTCTCTGCTGCATGTCCTGCAGCACGCACTTTCTTGTATATTTATAGGTAAATATATGGTTCTTTTCTCTTTTTGAGAGAAGGACATAGATGAAGCATAACTATATTTCTCTTGATAAGAGAAAAGAATCATATCTTTATACATAGGATATTTGATGAGCTCAAGGCTGTGATCCACATAGGAAGGGAACTGCAGCAAGAACCATCCATTTCCTCACTCCCTTTGTCTGTGCATTTATTACCAATGAAGGATGGGATGTCAGACATGACAAATCCTTTGGCCACACAGCAGGTCTGGTTCTGGCAGCATGAGGAGGACTTCACTTCTACAGTGTTTTAACAGTGTGTTTCAGTGCTTCAACAAACTTCCAAGAACCACCAAGAAAAGCAAAGGAATAAGCAATATTCAAACTCAGTAGGCTAAGCTCTCTCTGAGAGCTATGAGAGAGAAACTGAGCTACCGAGGAAAACAATTAGGACCAATTGCATTCATTATTGAGGCAGAACACATCTGAGACCATGTAAGTGTTTATTTATGGGTCAGTTAAAAATAACCCTATAGAAAACAACCATTACATTGCTACTAGCACACACTCGATTCAAAATAGCAATTAAAGTTTCTCATTTCATTTGCTAGGCACTGAGCACAACAGTCCTCACCAAAAGCGAGCTTACAAAAGCTTGGACAAGAAAAGGATTACTTGACATACATATCAAAATGTCAACAAAATATGTTGTGCACTCCATTCCCGAGAGTGATTTCATTATTATTTTTCCAATAGCAGCAATTCCACAAGTGCTTACAAATCAGAAGAAAGAAATCAAATGGAAGCAATTGTGAAACTGCTCCATCTATTTTTTATCATCCACATGGAAAAACACACTAAAGGAGTGCTAAGTGCACACTTGAAAAAAACAGAGATCAAGTCCTAAACTTATTTTCTTTCATAATCTTATGGAGCCACAGTATGTTCTGAGTGTGCAAGTTCTATGGAAGCACTGTCCCTTTAAAGTTGGAATGTAACTTGTATTTTTTACCACAAGAAATAGTGCAGCCTCCCATGTTCTTACTGGGAAGTTTTCTTGGGAAAACATCCATTTCCAGAGCATTGCTTTTACACTTTCTGATCAGTGGTCACATGGCTCTTAGAATGTTTTAATGGTATTTTTACTCCATGAACGTTTGCAAGAATTTAATCCAGTCTATTTCTTGCAGTATCTCCTCTTAGGGATCATTATAGCCGTACTTCTGACATTTTATAATGAAAATAATTGCTCGTTTCTATATTTTCATCTCAGTTGCAATATTCAAAACAAGACTAATTGTCCACTTTTTGCCCTAAGAACTTTCTGAAATTGCTGCTGCACAATAAAACAATTTATAGTATAAGCTACCAGAATAGCTTTAACCTGTCCACTGCACTTGGTCCTTACTCAGAATGATCTGACTCTAAATTTATGTCAATTATTGAATTTAATTGCAGTGATACCTTGTCAAGTAATTTGCCTTTATTGTGTAAGGTGATGCTGATGAGTTTAAAAAGTGTGAGAGTGGCATAGAGGTGCAACGACTCACATGAAGTCAGCCACAAGGACAGCTTCAGGGTCAGTGGCAAAAGCAGGTTTCCTGAATCGAAGACCAAACTCTTCTTTGCCCACATCAGATTAAAATACAACACCATAGACTAATAAGAAGCATCTGGCTTTAAATCACTATTTGTTTTTATTGCCACTTAAACTAAAGACACATTCAAAGAGGATTCTGGTAGACATATCATCTGTTGTCCTTCCAAAAGTCCTTTGCTTAATACTGAGTGAGGGAAGTGGTAAAGCTTCTTCTTAGCTGTTTATAAAGGAAATCAGAAGATCCTTTGATAAGATGGTATCTGCTTTCCTTCCGCTCACTGTAATCACTGTGAAATAGGGGAATTTTAGCTTTTGGTCCCTGTCCTATACAGTAGTCAAAGGCTCTAAGCAGGACCTCTCTAGGGCACAAGGTGAGGCTGTTACTCCTCAATTCCATTGTTCTTTGTAGCATTGGAGATACTTCTACAGCACATCCAATATGTATCTTATGACAATTGTTTCCAGAAGGTTTCAATTTCAATCTCAATCTCTCTCCCCCAGTAAATAAGTTACAGAAAGAAGACAACTGACAGCACTTGACAACATTGAGCGTGGTGCCAGAATCCAAACCAATGAAGATGCTGCTTCTTGAATGTGACAAAACGCTTATTTTAAGCATACTGAGACAATAAAGTGCTGATTAACAGGCAGCTTTTTCTTCTACAAAACTTACAAGCATGTTGGCTTGTCCTAAATAGAGAAGACGCTGAAGGTTATGCCGTCACAAGTGTAAAAACAGCTCTGCACTCAAATAATGAAAGCCAGCTTTGAGCTGATGGCATTGCCTCCAGTAACAGTCTGCGTTCCACTACGTGGAGGACTGGCCCTATTTCACTGACAGGTTTTTCTGAACTCATTCAGAATAAACACGTGTGATGTTTCTCAGACACACCTACATAATCTGTACTGTTACCTTATCCTGGTACGAATGAGTGTACTGATTTTTCAGGGACTGTTAGTGAGTGATCACTTCAGACTGAGCTAGAAATTGTGATACTCTACCAAGATCCTTTCACACATATTCACACGTTACTACCATGTTCTGCAGAAATTAATATAAAGGGAGCTGAAAATAAATACTCACCCACAGAGTCTAAAAATAAGCACCAAAATTTCCCCTCCTCGTTTCTGATTTTTGTTTCCCCTCAGGTGATGACACCGTGCTCCTTTCTGGCTCTCCTGAAACACATCATGTGCTCTGGGTCACAGACTGCTCTGGGAAACTTTGTTTATGCAGAGTTATTGTCTTGGAATGTATTGTGAGATACACATTAAGGGTCTTTACATTTAAATATGCATAAATAAAATAGGAACTATAGGCATAAGTATAGTATGCATTGATTACAGTAAGTTTGTTTTCAGCTGCACTACTATGAAGAAATACACTTCTTCAGAGGTTGGGGTTTTTTTTTGGTGTAACAGATTCTGTTTAGTTTAGACCTGCAGCTCAGCCCATTTCAGACTTCTACAAACAAGCCAATTAAAACAGCAGAAGCTTATTGAATATTGGTTGCTTCAGACAACTCAATTTAATGCAGACTTGTTTTATGCAAACATAGGAATTTTAAGAGTACTAGCTTCTTAGAACTGGCAAAAAGGTAATAATTCAGCAGGAGCAGAAACTATCTGTAGTTCCTGCCAAGTGGACAAGCTTTCCCACAAGAGGACAAAGGGAGAAGAGTCCAGACGAAACTAATTGATGATGAGTAGTAACAATCCTATGGAGTTCTGGGGCAATTTGATACTTCTGTAGTATTGATCTGTCCTCAGGCATACGCTTTATGAACAAATAAATCTTCCATAAACACTTAATGAGGCAAGTAGTTTCCATCCCACATACGAAAAAAGCAGGGTCGGTAGGTGTGAACACAGATGGAGGTGGTTCTAGAAGTGAAATGAAAAGGTGGAGTCCTGGGATTATGCTCAACTCTTCTGTTCTGCAGTAGTTAAGTTAGAACTCTTGCTGAAGGAAGGGGAGTCTGACCAGTTTTTCATTACATGCTGTGGACATGTGCATGCAACCCCTGACACAACGCTTCCCCAACCTGCTCTAAGACCTACCTGAGTGCACACAGTACAGCTCGTGCCCACAGGACTGAAGCAGGAATCCACAGTGATGATTCTGTGCTCAGAGGGCACATTGCACCCCATAGGAAGGATGTCACGCTGCCAGATGTGTGCTCCATTACATTCTTCTAGTCCTGAAGGAAAAACACTTTAAATTCATACATATAATATCCTTGTTAATGTGAGACAGGAGACTGGCAACATGCCAGTACCAGAGCCAGGAGATGGAAAAAACAGCAAACTAGTAGAGTCTCCCAATGTGAAGCAGACAGATCTATTGTAAGCTGTCTCCATCCTTGGGGCTGGATGGCCCAGGATGATTTACAAGCACAATATTTACAACTAACACACATGAAATACATTATGGGTAGAAATAAATCTCCTAACATGCAGAGAGAACAGTTAAGATAAAAGAATGCATATGGTAAACTAGGTGAATGTCATTGGAAGCGTGGCACTAAAGCCAGAGCACGTCTTTGGGGCAAAGGATACTGCATGTTTGCACTAATGTTTATCAGTACTCTGGAAGACAAGATGTTAGGAGAAGACTTTTCCTTATTAGTAGTAATTTTTTTCTAGTGAATTTAAAGCTGCTGATGAAAGACATGGTGACAAAAACATCTGGAAGTAAAACACTGCTATAAAGGAGTGTTAGTCTTGTGCCTGCTTCATGAACAGGTACAGTCCAAAACCAGACTAATTTTTAACTCACTCATGAAGGGAGCAGCAGTGTGAAGCTCCACTTACACAGCAATACTGCTTGGAGGTGACATGTCTATGTCATTTTTTTTGCTGCTTTATTTTGTTGGTGTTTTGGGGGGGGCCCCGGCTTGTCATTGTCATTTGGTGTTTTTTTATTTAAAGTAGTCTAAATGGTTTTGATTTACAGATGCTGGGAGGAGCAAACATCTACTTTAACATCTTTGACAAGGTGCCACAGTTCTGTTACAACAAGATATAATCTGAGCAGAATGACCTTTCATATTGACAATGTCACAAGATTGTTTTATGCCCAATGAACTGAAACTATGTAAATAAACCAAGCTCAGGTTAGCCTGAGTCCGAAATGACATCTGGAGAAGAGAAACCATAGCTCTACTGTATGTTACCATCAGGTCTTCCAAATTAGTCCCAGTTTGCACTTCTATCAAGTCAAGCACTAATGAAGGACAGAAGAATAAGTATCAAAAAGGAAGGAATTTAGGAAGGAACATCCTGAGTATTTGCAAGGATTTTCTGTAATGCAGCACAGCCCAGCACTGCACCACTGGAGCACAACCACAATGCTCTCAGTGAGAAGATCCATAGTTGCCTTAATGGCTTTGACTATACCTTCAGATTTAATAGGATTTCTAAACCAGCTATCCTTAATAATCACCAAATTATATAAACCTATTTTCCACGTTTATTTTTACCAAGAAATGCTTTTCTGTTCAATTATATTCTATTTAAAGTTGATTTAATACGCTGTTCTAGTACCAACATGCCACATTAACTGGTACTGGCATTTTTGCCCCACTGCTTTGTGGTTTCATGCCCATAAAAAAGACATGTGATCTGCTGTAATTACTGCAGCTATTACTTATGGATTTTTTTTTTATTTTTTTATTTTTTTTGGTGGAGCCCTTAAGTACATTGATTTCAAAGGATGCACAGAAAACAGGACAAATTCAAATGGCTATAGGCCACAATATTATGAGACACACGTTAAAAAAACAAAACAAAACAAAGAACAGAGAAATGTGAAAACCTCAAGACATTTTTGATCCTAAATTCAGAGCCAAAATCCTTTAAAATGTGGGCAGATTATACAACTCCCTCAGCAGAATCCTAGGCTGGGCCACAGAACCCAGGGCTCCATGCCATCAAACCTAATCTTTGTTTGAGATCTGAAACATTCTCTCCAACAGTTTTCAGTCACATTGCAAAATTGTAGAGGAAGATGAAAGGCAGATTCTCCCCGCCTCTCTCACACTAACCCCAGGGCCTAGAAACATCAGGACTTGATTTAACCAAACGCACAGTGGGCCAGAAAAATGATGAGTGATACCAGGACGTGACTGAGACACAGAAGACTTTATCTGATCCGCAGTTTTCCATTGGATCTACTCAGAACCTTGAGCAAACCGAGCCCCAATTACAAACTTAGCACAAATTAAAGTGGTATGTGCAGAGAGCCACTTATTTTTACTTAACTGCGGTAGTTTCAATACTGCTGTTACTTGTACCTTGAGGTCATTGTGCAGGCTTCTTGACAATTTGGTTTAGGCTGTCTAAATGAAGCTAAATGACTCTTACCATCTCCAGTTGCTGATGACAGTGATGACTGTGTGCACCTTTTTCTCTGTTTACTTCAGTCCATCGGCCAGGAGCAAAGCAATCCTCCTCCAGCACACCTCCCTCAAGTAGGGCGCAGGGAGAACAGCAAACAAACAAACAGGAAAAGAAAACATCACTCACAGCACCTTTTCATGTAATAGTAACAGCCTTTTGGTGCCATCATCAGCTATGGCATTTCATTCACACAGAACACTTGTGGGCACATCACATATGTTTTTCCACTCAACGTATTTTTAAATGTTTCCCAGGCAACTGTTTCAATACAATATGCCTCCTTGGCAACCTGGTACCCACAAATGCCATGCCACTCTCCCCAGCCCTCTTTTTTAGGTCTTCCTGTCTCGGCACATAAATGTCACATGGCTGGATTTTGTACGTACAGCCACACAGGTCCTGAACCTGTTCCTACTCTTTGAATGGGAAGGCTGAATGGAAAAGATGAGCTGCTCACTCATCTGTGCACATTAACAAATTCAAGTTCCGGTGCGGTACTGGAGGAAGCAGGTTCCAAAGCCAGTGACTTTTCATTGGAGGCTACGTCACCTAGCACTAAAATTAGGGAGAGCTTACATAACTGTCTCCATTCAGCTCATTTTCTCAAGAAATGGCAATGGGCTCACACTTCTCAGAATGAAACTGCACGTCATCATTATTCTCCTGCCTGTGCTAAAGGAAATCTTTCACAGCTTTCTTAATTTTGTGGCTTGAATTGTAATATGTCCCATCAATGAAAGTAGTCAGAATTTCCCATCTCTCTGCAGACAGCTGTCTGTACTGTGTGAGCCCATAAGGCTGAGTTTCTCTTCCCAGCGCTGCATTTGCTGCTGCTGGGCTGCAGAGGACAGAATGCTGGAGTCCCATCGCTGCAGGAGCTCTCACTGATGTTTTACTACACGTACTTCAGCTCCCTGTGCTATCTTTAGGGACATTTTCTTTACAGCATTTAGCAGAACGGACATGCTCATTCTAGAGTGAAGTCACAGCATGTTTGACAAGAACAAAATTTATCAACACCTACTCCTTAACCAAGTGTGAGTTAGAACAAGTAATCACAACACACTAACATTTCAATTTTCTAGCAAAGCACTGTTTATTCTTAACGTTATCCTCTGATCCTGGAGCTATTGCTACAGAACCAAAGATATCTAAAAGGACCAAAACTATCTGACAGCATCAGTTGCCATAAAAAATAAATAAAAGTTTTAACAACTGTGTGGGCTTTAGCCTCAAAGTGGTTCGTTAACAAGATAATAGCTCATGCATACAATTATATCATTCCCTGAGAGAAACCTTGCAGAGACCACGGTGCCACTTCTTCATCGAATACTCCATAACAATAGCTGAAAATTACAATTTGTCCAGGCTATCAAACGCCTGACACTCCAAATTCTACACCGGCAGCAAAAATCTCCTCCCTGTCTGTGAGCTGTTGTATCTGTAATAGAGACCCTGCATTACCAGGCTTTCTAATTCTTCCCAAATGCAGAAGCTCTCATTCAATGTTGCAGCTGTTGGGTAGGAAATCAGAAATAGCAGAAGGCGGATTAGTTGATAATGTACCAGTTCTTCCCCAGCAAATGCTGCCACCTGCGTTTTACACTCTCCTCTTTCCCTCAGCCCAAGAAAAGATCGCTTGGTTTGTTTGGCAGGCTTAAATGATTGTGGAATTGCAAAAGGATTAGAATTTGTTATAATAGCCCCTTCTTCCTGAGAGCAAAAGTTAAAACTGAGGCCCAATTTACAGCAAGAATCGGAAAACATGTAAGTAAAGATTAAGCATGTGCAGCTCGATGAGCCTCTACAGGGAGTAGATAACTGCACATGCTGGCACTCCATTTACAAGGAAATCCCTAAAGATAATCTGTAGAAGCATTCTAGCTTCCAAAAGCTCAAATCCTTCAACCATTGGCTCAACTCCAGTTAAGGCTGCTGCTGATAAAGACTTGTCTTTGCATTTCCATGAGAACTTTTGTGTAAGATCACAAAACAACTGCAGTTATTGAATTAAGCAAGACTCAAAGTCAAGAGAGAAGTAATGGGATTTCCATGCCAGTTGAGGAAACTATAGCATGATCTCACCCAGCATAGCAGAACCAGGAGCAGGTCCTATTTCACTCTTCACCTTTATGCTATGGCAAGTCCATTTTTAATTCCAGAAAGATACAAATTAAAAATCATCAACTACACTAGTAATTTCCACTATTCCTTTCATTATATTCTTTCACTTGTCATCCTTGCTGCACTATAATTTTTAAGCTCACCCGTAACAAAGCTGTTGCAAACGTTCTAATGCACGAGTCATAGTACCACACAGCAACACCTGCAGCATGAAAAACAGCCAACACTTCTGATGACCATTACCTAACAGCACCAACCTGCGAGTGCAGCGCATGCTTTAGGAGGAGAGGATTGCCCAGGTAGATTGCAAGGGGTCACGAGATGGGTAAAACACTGACAGACATCACAGGAACAAAGGAAGGAACTGCGGTGTGAGCAATCATTCCTGTAGATGCACCCAGGAATACGCACAGGCGCCTGCAGACGCGAGCTCAGTCAAAAAGCTCTCACTGCCCCCCGGATTTTCTTCAAGCAGGATTTCTGTGCTGTTTGCTGCCGCCAAGCGGTGGTTATTAGTAGTGTAACATCATTCACAGCCTTAATGAAGGCCAGCAAATAAAATCAGACCTCACTGCCCTTGTCATGGCATTTCCAGCCACTCACACGGCTGAGCCCCTCTTTCCA